TCATTTCGGGTAGGAGATGCGTAGAATGATACTCCTCCAACGGTTGTCCACGCTCCTTCGAGAACGCAGTTCAAAGCACCACTAGACATCTATTTATGTGAATCCTCGCGCTGGCAAGCATACTGCCCCGCGCTGCGAACATAAAGAGCAGTGCTACACCCTTTTTTCACTTGTATCTTTCATGTGAACGACAGCCGATGAACGACAAGAACAAGACCGATCCGGGAAACTTCGGCAAAAGCCTCGATCCTGTGTATCATTTCTCTAACGGATCTGTGGCTGACGACCGTCTTCGTTTCAGCTCTGGCTGCAACGCGCTCTTCAACGGCCATTGAACACAATGGGGCTTACGTTCATGCGTCCTGAGTGAACAATTCAAAGGACAAAAAATCGTTCAGCTGTAGCACCCTTTCGGTGCCGAACTGCCATGCCACCCGAAGGAAGCACGAGGGCTTGGATAGTGCCAGGTTCCCCAAGCATAGGGGAAGTCGAGAGGCAGAGGTCGGGTTCAAACCAAACGGTCAGTAAATTTGCGTTCTAACCACTCGGGCCATCTCGCCGTACTTTAGCATTACTCGTCTGATGTTCCTACCAGACCCATGCAATTTTCCGAGTCATCGATGGTCACAAACTCAGGCAGTTTCCGAAGATCGGTATGTAGCGGCCACTTCTCCTATCCACAACGTAGAACAAATTGAACTGCAGCATTGTGCACTCTAGCCTTGAGGGTTAAGCTGATGTCACATGGACCTCAAAAATATCGGTCTTGCAAACGATTCCATAGCCTTCGGGAAATGATCCTCTTTAGCCTTTCCCCTAGAACTTGTGCAGCTACCCAAGTAGTCGAAATTTTCCACCACACTGCAAGCGTGGGGTCCTGGTTTGCTCCCGTCCAGTTTTGGAGTGGCACTTTTCACTACAGGTGTGAAAGGCATACCAAACTGTTCAGCAACATTATGTATATTTGGAGGGGATCTGATCCTAGAAGATCAACATCTTAAACGAATGTCGGGGAGTATGTATTATCCTGAGTTGTTGAAGACAGATGGAAAAGAAATAAGCAGTACGTCGATTACGAAGCTGGGGAGATGGAGCGACATTAGTGGTCGTGCTTAATCTAGAAGAGAATTTGACATATACGCACGTGTCCGTGGGAAGAGGCGACAGGAATTTAGGAGACGCCTTTCGTCGCCAGATACCTCCACAGTTTCTGATGGTCAGCGGAGTCAGAATCGGCTTCCACATCGAGAAAAACGGTTACTTTTGATTGTCGAGTGGAATCCGTCACGAAGAGACTGGACATTACCGTGGTGTGACGGTTTGCGCACCTCAGCGATCCATTGAGCTATACTGGAGA